GGCCAAGGGGTCGTTTCTCAGCCAACCCCTCCCTCCCTCTTTTCTCCTTCCTTTCTCCCCTTCTTCTCGACCCACCGACCCCCCCTTCCTCTTTCTCCTTTGCCCTTTTCGGGCCGGTGAGAAGCCACGTCAGCTCTTAGACGCCACACACCAGCTCCGTTATTACGCCTGAAGGAGGCATTCTTCTCCCTTAATTACACGCGGCGCACCGTCATTATTGGCAGCGATATTAGGCCGTTTATTGAAACTCCCGGTCAGGTGACGCTTGCCTTCGGGCTCCTTTTCAGACGTGTGTTTATCCAGAAAGGGGGATACTTTCAGAGACAAGCCTCAGGTTAACCGACACACTTATCATCAGAGGAGATGTGCCAGGAAGAGTGATGAAAACAGCCCAATAATCAGTTTGGGAGGGAGAGTGTGTCACTGGTTTCATGCTCAGAAAACTACTCAGAGTTCAGACTAAAAACCAGAGTTTGCGGTTCCATATAGATTTCATCATTAGTCTTGTTTGGATGGACTGGAACCATCAAAAGTCAACACCTTTGTGCATTTCACAGCTAGGCATTCATTAGAGCTCCGTCTGAATCAATTAACCCCTCAATAACTATTTTATGGTTATAAAAATCATCTTATTATGTAGAAATACGGTATAAAGATCAGGTGTGCACAAGTCTTTTGCTACTATATCCTCATAAACTCGCAATATTATTTAGGAAAAAGCAACATTTAATCATCAAAAATTCAGATTATTTGTAGACAAAACCCATCCTCCTCTCTTTACTAAAAAACAGTTCAATTACTCGGTCATACAGATTATCTGGGCGCTTCGGTTCCATCAGGAAGTCCTTTAATATTGAAGCTAACGCTGAAAGTCCAGCCTGCCCTGTAGTATTAAGAACCGAATTGGTTTGTTTGCTAGCTTTGGCTGGTCGCTATCTGACTATCCAATCAGAGGACAGAGAGCCAGAGGGCCCTGGTGTCCCCAATCTAAAATCTGATTGGTTAAAGCAACTGTTTAATCAACATCAGGCAGACATCTTTGACTTTGACCCTGCCTAGCAACAGATGATGGCTGAAATGTGATTGGTTAAATGCTTTTATATGAAAATGCATGTCTGGAAGTAGCACAACCAGGAGAAAAACTGTTAAAGGACGCGCACAGACTATTTAGAGATATTTAATAAGTATCCATGGACAAAATATAATTAACATCAGTCTGTGATTCAGATATTTTCTTAGGCCTGCAGAGAAGGCCTTGTAGGTCCTGACGGTCCACCACTGGTTCCTTGTATTGTGAGGTGTAATGATTAGCTGGATGCAATGTTTTACTATCGATACTTTTGACAACCCTAGTTGGTTCACAAACTTTGAACCCGTTCTTAAAAGAGACACCCGGAGGGAGTGGTGGCGCGTGGAGGTGAGGGATGAAGGCTCATGTGTTGTCCAGATGCCGATCATAAATTCACAGGAGAGAGCGAGCCCAGACCCAGAGCCCCGGGCAGCAGAATAATGAGCTCCCGGTAAACCTCAGAAAAAAGTCCTGTGAAGCACAGCAAAGGCAGGAATATGGAGCTGGCACAGAAAGGAGGGATTGTTAGATGGTGTCTAGAGGGTAGCTCATCTTATGGTGGATATGGGATGGTCCTTCCTGCTGGAAAAGGAAATGAACACATACCATCAGATTCCAGGAGAAGAAGAAGAAATGTGTTTGAGTGCAGCCAGATGGAGGAGAAGCTATTGAAAAGTGAAAGTGGGCAGAGAAACTGAGCTCCATTTCAGTTCAGGCAGCGTTCTTTGGTGGGTCTCTTCCTTTTTGAGCCTTTGGAGACAAATAAACAAATCCGTTCTGAGCCGATGCGCTGCCTTGGTGTTCGCATCACATGAAGGGCTCACTGACTTTAGAAAACAACGGAAAATCACACCGTTCCTGGTCGTTAAAGTCGGAGGGCTGGACCTTTAGTTTGCATGCTGAGAAGTTACTAAGAAATACACTACTGTGGAAAGTCCTGAGTTCCTCAAGACTCCTCTTTTCTTTTTGTTTTGCTCCTAAAGAGCCAGACTGAGAACTATTCTTGAGGACTACTTAAAGAATGGTTGAGGCTGTGTGAGAGAAGGAGAACCCCACAACTCTATTTTTGCATCATAAACATTCATTTACAACTATCTTTTTACATATTTCTATGAATGCAAACTGCAAAGAGGTAACAAAAACAGCAAAAAGAAGCAGTGATGTGTGCGTGCGTGTGTCTCATTTTAGCTCCAAAGTTCATCCATTTAGATGCAACATCTGTTTAGCAGAAGGTTAGAAAACAAGTAATATCTGTTTATTGGCATAGCAGTTCCCCACGTTTTCAAACTATTCCTAACAGATGTAAATTTTAGTGTGTGTCCTGCCAACAGGAGCCTGTAAAAGTTCGATAGGACCCTGGTCTATCCTTAATAGTCTGTAAAGGGATGATTCAGTCAAATTGTCAACACCTTGATTCTAAAAAAAGCCATTTCATAACTTTCTTTTTCTTTTTGTTTTACATGCACGCTGTGATGTACTTAGTGTTCCCACTTTCTGTTTCACATGTTAAATCTGTGCCTGAAGCCGGGTCTGCCCTTCCTGGACGGCGTGTAGGAGCACATTCATTTCCTCTAGCAATCAGCCGTGGAAAAAAAAAGGCGGATGCACAAATCTGTGTGTGCACATCTGCCCGTCACCAGCCCCCCGGGGGCCTCAGAGTGAGCCTGTCTGCCATTAAAAATCAGCAGAAGAAGAGAGGCCGTGACGGATTTGGGACTTGCTGAGTGTGCGTTTTTTCTTCGGCTCTTTACAGACTCATTTGTAGTTTAAAAGCAGGGCCGGGTGGCTCATAAATAACAGGTCACCGTGCTGGGAAAAGCATTCCAGGGCCACGAAAATGATCATCCTCATGCCTCGTCACACATCTGCTCGCACAGGCACTTTGCAAAATATTAGAATTATCGAGCGTGTGGTTTTATGGTCCCTGTCCAGATGTTTGTGTTGGAGGGAAGACACATTCGTCTGACCGACGAGGATTCGCATTCCGAGCAAAAGAGGCAAACTTTTTGGGGATTCTTTCACGCGTCGTGTGAGATGAGGTGCAAGGCCATTTGTTGGCCTGGTTATCACATGTAAAACAGGTGTAGAATGAGTTGGGTGTGTTAGAATTTGGCTATAATTACTCAGTTTAGCATTGTATGCTATCACATGATCTACGTAAATTACTGATTGTTTTATTTTCTTTTATAACTATATTTTTGTGTTAAAGTCTCTGGCTGTGTCCACAGACTCTCTTTTCTCTCTTTTTCTCTCTCTGTTGCATTAGATCCACCTTTAGGTCAACACACACACATACACACACCATTTGTTACCACATTCCTGTCATCTGCATGATTTAGGACCTGGCCTGTTCGTGCCCAGAGGTAACTGGCCAACTTTGTATGTTGGAAAATGTGTATGTTTAGACATCGTAAGTAGAGGTTCTGTTGTACTACTGTTAGAATCTGGCTATAATTACTTATTTTAGCACAGTATGCTATTACATGATTGATGTAAATTACAGTTTTTTTATTTTCTTTTATAACTATATTTTGTGTTAAAGTCTCTGGCTGCAACCGCAGATTCTCTTTGTTCTCTCCTTTTCTCTCTCTGTTGCATTAGATCCACCTTTAGGTCAACACACACACACACACACACCATTTGTTACCACATTCCTGTCATCTGCATGAATTAGGACCTGGCCTGTTCCTGCCCAGAGGTAACTGGCCAATAGGACTTGGTTGTGTCCAGTCCTCCTTTGAGGAGGCGGCTGGAGCCCAGGAGATAATGCCCATCACCCAGATCTCAGGGCTCTAACCCACTGAGACCCAGAGAGAGGTTTTAGTCTGTTAGAGCCCAGCTGAAACAATCTATGTTCAAATAAATGTCATTTTTTTACTTTTGATCCACTCTGGTTTATTCTCAGGTTTCCAACTAAAGAATCGGGCTAACAGTTTTATTAAGCCAGCAGCAGTAATCACTTCGAAATTCCTCTTTTCTTTAATATTAAAACA